CACTTTCTCTTTTTAAAAAAAAAAAAAAAAGCCAGCAACCAACTAACAGAAAGAAAAAAAAAAAAGCGCCTGACAACCCCCAAACCTTTAGACTATAAAGTGAGGCTTCTGGGGCTGTCTTTTGTGCTTCTCTTCAGAAGTGCTTAGGTCACATTTAATTTCTGCCCCTCAATTTTTCAGGAAGATACTGGAAATATGAATTGGTTATAACTAAACTGAGTAAGATACCAGTTCACATAGTATTTAAAGTTAACACCAAACAGTATCTTTGTCTCTGCTGCTTTACAGTTCACATGAGAAATGCCACTTCTAGAATTCATGTTATCCTCTCCTTTTTTCTTTTAAAGGATATTGTGAAGAATGAAGATAAAGATCAGAAATCCAAAGAAAATGGAGCAAACGTATGATAAAACTGCTGCTGTTTAGAAGAATGGTGTTACATAATGTAATATAAATCATGATACCAGAATGTATGGGAAGTGATGCATGTTTGATTTTAGTAGTATAAATATCTTAGTTCCAAAAGATGTATAAAGTTTTATGAATGTGAGTGTCTGCTTCTGAAGACTGCTTGTAATTCTTAGCATTCAATTTGAGACACTCCTCGAGTGAAAATAATTTTGCATTGCAAAATGCTTTAGGATGAACTTTGTTATAGTTTTAACCCTAATAAAGTTCATCAGCGTAATGAACAGTAGCAAGTATTTAATTACCAAATGTTTTTCATTAAAGTCTAGTGAAAGTTCATCACGTAATGAACAGTAGCAAGTATTTAATTACCAAATGTTTTTCATTAAAGTCTAGTGAAATTTCATTATTTATAGAATTGCCATTTTTAGGTTTTTATTTTTATTTCAGTCTAATTAGTCTAGTCTAATTCAAATATAAATCACAAAATAGCATGCTGCTTAATTTTGCAAGTAAAGATTTTTTTTTTTAAAAAGCTTCTTGGATTTTTTTTTTTACTTGTCACAACTTTCTTTTCCCTTCCAAATGTAACTTTCTTCCCCAAAGCTGCTTGTATTAAAGCCTCATAATATACAGTAGTTCAGATGAGTTAAGAAAGCAATAGAAACCTACCAAAATACTGGTAGGGTTGTGAGATTTATATGAAAATACATGGGCCTGTTTTAAATGTATGTCATTTGTGTTCCTTTAATTGTTCTTATCTTGGATTAATATATATATGCTCCTTTTTAATAACAAATGCAGTGTATTAAAATGTATGGTTGGATACCAGGCCAGTAGATGTCAGAATAATGCCTTACATGGAGAAAAAGCTACCATTGTAAGCCGCCTTTAATTAAATTTGGACTTCTTTCTTAATATGTGTAATTACTTCAAAGACTTTAGTCCAACAAAAGAGTGGATACACAAGTATCAATACTCCATGTTACAATTACTAAGGAGCAGGACACAACTTGGTTTGTTGAAAGTGGGTAAGATTGCCTTCTTTTGTGTTCACAAATCACTAGAGATCTAAACTTAATGTGACATCATTGTCAAAGGCAACTTATTCAAATAATGTGAAGTATGAACAGTTGTATTTTGGCGTAACTTCCAGGGAAATTGAGGGTTTTGAAGGTTGGGACAGAAGTGTTTTCTTACAGAAATGGTTAATTTTAGCAGACCTTTTTTCTTTTTTAGCCTAGATGTCCTAGGTAACTAAATACCTGTTGGGAGAGTCCAAGTGCCATAATATGTATGAATAACCTACATGGAAACTTATGTAGCTTTACTGAGATACACATTAAAATGCCTGAATTTATGTTCAAAAGAGTCTAAGCTGGTGCTTTTATCACTTACCTTTCTTGGCTCTTTTGGAGCTAGACAAGTAAAATATCTTTTCATTAAAATAACATGCATAAGCTTCCCCCTCATTCATCTCAGTCGAGTCACTGTATAATATCTTAACTGTTCACGCTAAAGTAGGAAGTACTATACAAACACTAATTATTGCATATAAGTACACAGAAAATGCATGCTTTATGAATTAAGAGATAACATCTCATTAGAATGATTGAATGAGGATGGTGATAAATTAATCTTAAGAAAAGCGTTATCTGTGGTGCACAGATGGTATTAAATTCTTTTGTAATCAAATTATATTTTTCACCTTTACCTTTGTACAAATTGTTGAGAGCATGTTTCATTTTTGACGTTAAGCACCGTTTATTTAAATAGACTTGCAAGGATTGCATTTGAAATACTTTGTTCATGAATTTTCAGCAGTACATGTGAACATACAAGAAAATAATTCTAGAATTCAGGATAACATCTTTTTAGGCACAGTGAAACTTCTGTTGAAATATTTTGCCGGGGTGTTTTTACCTTAAACTGCTGAGCTGAAAGCAGTTGTCGCAACAAGCAGGCCTTATCTTTCAGTGAGTTGGCCTGTGGGATAGTTGCTAGAGTGATACAGATTTTTACAGTATTTAAGAAAAAAAGTATTTGTTAGAATGAGTGTAATCTTTCTCTATATTGCTTTGATGTAATAGTGTTTCAGATACTATGTACAGTCTGCATTTATGTTGGAAAGAAAATTAAAAAGGTAAAGAATAAAGGAAAAAAAGACAAGTTTTACAACTACACCGAGCTTGACCAGTCTCCTGAAGCACAACTAATCTGAGGAAGAACAGACACCTCTACAGACTGTTTAAGTCACTTTACCAAACAGCACAAGGTTCTGTATATATACAGCATCAATGCTGGTCGTTAGCTAAAGCTTCTTGGTGATATTCCCAGAACTATTAACTCATTAAGAAAATTGAATAGAGTATCAGTAATGGAGGTTTGGAGAAGCAATCTTCTGTCAGTTTTAATTTTTGAACAATATTTTTCCATTTCATGTCCATGCTTCCCACCTCATGGGCTTTCCACTTCTAAGTCTGTCATTACATATCAGTTGCTGGCGAAAGGCTGGTAAAAGTGAGCCTAAGCCAGGTCTTAACTCTGATGCCTCAACATCCAAGTTGTTTGTAGTTTTAAAATCATCATAGGTGCTCTGTGGAAAGTAGTAAGTCTCAGACTGCCTTGTTCTGTAGAGAAAGCACTGCTACAGCAGGCCAGTAAATGGAATCTGATCGCGGTTTATAGATTTATTTCCCTCCCCTTTTGTATTTTGTCCATTATGGGGGAATTGATGAGTTAAACCCTTACAAAGTGATATTCAGACTAGTGGATGTCTGTCAATAAGGCTAGGAAGAAAGTTCCATGTGATACATCTGCATGCAAAATGGTCTAGAATAAAGTAGACATCTCTTGAGCCCCCTTTGCTTTTGCTCTGGTAATGAAAAGGCAGAAGTACATAGTTTCAGTGCTACGTAGCAATAGTGGCAAATAGACCAATAGTGAATTTTTGCCAAAGTTTTCTGAAGTGTTCAGGATTGCATGTGGGATAATGGAGCTGCTTCCAGCACTGCTGCATGTTCTACCATGATGAAGACACATCATGTTTTCTTGACTCACCCAGTGCTTCACGCTTGTTCCTGTAGCGCCTGGGCACTGCTGCAAAATCACTTCCCAGTTCTTGCTTGGTTTATCTGGTGTCCTCTGGCTCAGCCTGAGGCACCCTGAAGTGTACAATGGAGGGGTTGGAATTCTCTGTCTGGTGCCCGTGGGTTTCCACAGAGCCAGCATTTACAATTGAGTTGTTTCAGAATCTAACATTATGAAGCGTAGTCCTTTAACATAACATTTTTTCAATGTTTAATTGCTTTGAGAGAGATTAATAGCTTTCAGTCCATCTTTCTGCTGAGTAATGTACTGTGTGAGTATCTGTTTGGACCTATGTAACAGTTAACTTTCACTGATAATTTTATCAGGAATGTGCACAAAACGTGTTTTTTTTCTTGCTTCTCTGTAATCTTTGTGTACCCAGGTCAGGTTCTTACCTTTAATGCATTTGTTCAGTGCAGTTTATATTTAAAATTATAAAATATAAAATAATTCATTTTGAGTGACTGAGTCTTATGGCTAGCAATTGATTGCAAAACATGTAGGTAGCGCAGTCAGTACACTTAACGCTAATACTTTCCAGAAAGCAGAAATGGTTGAAGTAGAAATTTAACTGGGACTTGTATATTGCAATGTAGTGTGACAATAAAAATGACATAAATAATGAATACCTCCACTCAGCTATCAAAACTGCCAGTGTTTTCCCACCAAACTTTTATGTTTCTGCATACTGGTTTTGTGCAAGATGTATTGCACAAAATTAGTTACAGTAAAAAGCTCTAATAACAAAATGCATTACTTTCAAGCAAAAATAATTTTCCTTTTTTATTCATCCACTATATAATATACGGCATCATGATACAGAGTATAAATTTAGAGCTTCGGAACACACCAAATATTGCCTGGAGTCATGTTTTGTAGTGTTTTAACTGGTTAGGAACATTGCTTTTGAATTTCTAGATATCTGATACCTGAATTTGTATTGCAAACATGTGACACTGCAGTTGTATGCTGCTTTTGATTTCTTGTATCCTGCTGGTTTTTAAATTGTTCTCTTTAACGAGTGGATTCTAACTTGTTTGAGGATTCAGGTCGAGTACCCTACAGTACATGTAAGAACTAGTGTCTTTTCAGGTGTGATTCAGTAATCCTGCAAGCTGTTGTATCTAGCCCAATATTAGTTCAGTTCTCTTTATTCTTCTAAAATGATAGCAGAATAGTGGTGCTGAGTAGATTTGTTTGTTGCATGCTGCAATTTGGTTTTTTGGTGCTGGGTTATGGGGTTAAACTACTAGTTTTTCTGTAGTTCCTGCAGTACTTCACTACGCTTGGACCATTTACAGAGCATGTTAAGCCACAGGTGCACGTTGAAATACTTCGCTGATTGAAATTGTTGAAATTGTTCAGTGATGTCCTTCTCTTTAGAGCTAACAGTCTTCTCTTCTGTATCTCCCCCAGGCTGAGGAAGGAGCTAGCTTTTATTTTTGCTAATAACTTGGTCTGCAGCGTCAAGGCATGTTCATGTGAACTTCCCATAGGCAAGCAATCTCCCGGTAGTGAGGTCTGACCATTTCTTTGTGGGAGGCAAGTGATATGGTCCATGTGGTGCCTCTAAAAGCCCCTTCTCTCATATGCTCTAGTGAGGGGGCTCTGAATGTTTGGAGAAAGTACTTGAGCTGGATTTCAGCCATGACGACAGATTCCCAAAGCCAGATGTTTTGATGGGAAATCGATTCCTAGATTATTTTCCCTCAGTCTAGTGAGGGGCACAAGTGAAAGGATCCTGTTGACTGAATCATTCTTCACATTTCATTGTGGACAAACAGCTGGGTAGAGGGGAAGAGCGGAGAGGAGGAACACTGCAGAGAATCCCAGCCTGAACTCTCCCTACTCTGCTTTTTAGCAAATATTTTTAGAGTACTTCTTTGCTTTATTATTTGCTTGCAACCTTTTTAGTGGTATACAGAAGGATTTGTTTGAGTGTGAAGGGTTTTTTTTTCCCCCTGTATTGCTTAATTCTTTCTGGTCTTCCTGACACAGGGTCATCTGGTTACATTCCTGTTTTGTCATGCAAGGGGCAGAAACAGCTGGAGGACAGCAGCCTTCATTTTTGGTCCCTTTTTAGCAGGGCTAGATAGTAGACAGCAGATTTGCATATAAAAAAGCAGAAATTGCTGTCATATGTCACATCATAGAAATGAACAGTTGGAGATAAAAGTACCTTGCAATGGTGGTCTCAAAAAACTCTGTTGTCTCTCAGACCAGCCGGATTTACTGTAAAACAGTCCATTGCATGTGTGCAGAGGAAAAGTTAAAGGAGAAGTAGGCAATTTTCACTGTTAAGTATAATGTGCACGCGGGTTGGGAAGATGGGCTGTTACCCTTTCAGCTTGGCTCTAATAAGAAATGAGAGTTTTGGAAGTTCTCTTAAACATCTGGAAAGATTCCTGTCTGTTTCACAAGAGTTAGTCTAGGTGTCCCATAAGAGACTTTCCTTTTCAGCTTGTCTCCTGATGCCTTGTTTTATCAAAGTACTACTCAAACAAATTAAGTACTTCTATTAAGTACATTACATGAAATGTAACTATTAGAACATTCATGTTACAACTTGTAAAATCTTGGGAAGGGTTTCCAAATGCAACTTGAGAGTATTCTTAAAATGTTTGTTTACAGAGAAAAGCTTATACTTGTCAAGTATCTCCTCCGATATAAGGAAGCCATGTATAATATGACTAAACAGATGAAAATAAGGATTAGCTGCTTACCAGTATTGAACCTGATTTTCTGCCTTAGTGTCTTTCCTGAAATCAAGCTAATAACCTCTTTTTTTGGGGGGGTGGGGTGGGGGTGGGGGTGGTGTCTTTTCA